GAGAGAACCCATGCTGCACGGGGAGAACATGGAGACTCCACGCAGGAAGATCCCAGGTGTCCTCACCGGGACGCCAACCGGCGACCTTCTAGCTGCTAACGGTGCTAACGGTGCTAACCACTGAACCATCTGCAGCCCGATCCAGAAGCAGATGGAACAAACAGTCACGTTTTGCTGTTTTGTGACTATTTCAGGTTTTTTAGAGACACACGTGTGATGAAGGCTTTCAGTGAAGCCGATGATCTGAAGCTGGTCAGCTGTGTTTATCCACCGGTTCTGTCTGGAACCAGCATCCTGGTGGACCAGCACAGTGCTGCAGAAGCAGATGTTTGTTCTACGGCTCCTGTCCAGGTTGTTCTCTCCTGACCAGATCCCTGCTGGTGCTGTATCTGCTCTCACATCTACTTTGGATAAAAGCTGAATGAAATAGAAATATAAAATGGTCTCCTACTCTGGAGTTTCGGACGATGTGGGCCTTGACGGTGGCGGCCAGCTGGTCCCGGTGGTCCGGGCTGGACAGCCAGCGCTGCCTCTCGTCCGGCAGGGCCTCCAGGGCCCGGTCCGTGGGCCAGAACACGGTGAAGGGCTGGTGGATGGACGTCTGCAGCACCGGCAGCAGCCCGGCGTCCTGCAGCAGAGCTCACAGTCAAACAACCAACTGCAGCTTCACCACAAAGACCAACCACGGGTGAGCTGTTTGTTGTTCTTTGTCTTGTTTTTCTAGTTTAGTTTTAGTTTCATTTTCTTTTTGGCATTGTTTTAAATAAGATGTGTAGAACACAGTGATTTTAATAAATTATGACATTTCCAGACAGAACAAACTTCACATATGATGTGTTCAAGGACTGTGGGAAAGTTGAACACCAAACCAATCTTTCTGTTCCTACAGGCGGATAAATGGGCTCGTTCACATCCAGCAGCAGGTTTTGGGCTTCAGAGGGTCGAATCATAACGAAGGACTTGACCTGACCCTGTTTGTTCTGATCTAGAAGCAGCTCGTCGCTTTGTGCTTCGGTTGAATAAAAACAGAGGTGAGGAAGGACAACGATGACAGACAGGAGGAGGTTCATCTTCTCACCTCCACCAGCTTGTAGAAGCGTCCGTAGCCATAAAATGCGGCTGCTGAGCTGAAGTTCATCTGAACACAGAGAGACTCGGATCAGCTGCCAGGTCATTCGTTCATTCATCTCTTGTGGTTTCACACTCGACTCACCGTCTTGGCCTGAAGCTTGGGTTTGTCCTCGAGGCTGAAGGGCGTCAGCAGCTTGTCGATGTGGTGGATGACTCCGTTAGTGGTGATGAAGTCGCTCCTCACGATCCTCGAGCTGTTGTTGATCCAAACTGAACCCTGCAGGAGGAGGAACCGTCTCAGTTCTGGACCTATGGACTGAGTCTATCTGCATCATGGCTCCACATGGAGAAGGATTTGGGAACTAAAACCCAGTGCAGCCCAGTGTGAGCAGGAACCAGGAGGTCCANTACAAGTATGTTGCCGCGGCAATAACAGACGTTACAGGTGTGTTGCTGTGGTAATAAGACACGTTACAGGTGTGTTGCCGTGGTAACAAGACATGTTACAGGTGTGTTGCCGTGGTAATAAGACACGTTACAGGTGTGTTACCGTGGTAAAAAGACACGTTACAGATGTGTTGCCGTGGTAATAAGACACGCTGCAGGTGTGTTACCGTGGTAATGCAGGTCCTTGCAGGAGGCCACAGCAGCACAGCCTCCGTTGTCCTCCAGGCAGCGGTCAACAGGGGGCTCCACCTTCTCCAGACACTGGACTCCATTACCCACAAACCCCGGCAGGCATTCACACTCACGCTCATTCTGGAGTAATCAGATTACTTGATTTAGACCTTTTTAAATTGTTGGAAAGAGGAAGATACCACAGCAGAGAGTAACTCTCTGTCCAATGATTCATGGTAATCAGATTACTTTTCTGTAGAACACCAGAGTATTTCCTCTGATAAACAGAAACAACAACTTTATAAAGACTAAGATCAAAATTCAGCTCCAAAGTAGAACCTCAAAGAACCAAAGTGAGTCCAGCTGTGGTTCCCATCAGTCTACCTGCATGAACATGGTTCTACAACAAGCTGAGAGCAGCAGAACCTTCTCAGTTATGGACCTATAGACCTACTGGACATGAACAGAAGCCTGATGGATGCTGGAGAACATCCTCTGGTCAGATGGAGATCAATGTGTTGGGCTCACATGGAGTCCAGATGTTTGGTGTGAACCTGACCAGGACCACCACAGTGGATGCATGGTCCTGACAGTGAAGCACGGAGGTGGCAGCATCATGATATGGGGCTGCATGAGGGCAGAAGGTGTGTGTGTGTGTGTTACCTGCTGCAGGTTAAAGTGGATCATGTGACCGGAAACCGCCACAACTTTCTCCGTGGTTTTCAGGTCACTGAAGGTCAGAGTCTCACAGGAGACGATGTGATAGCGAACCAGAGCATTAAGTCGACCCGACGCCTTCCATTCATCGACCTGAGCACACAACACACACAGTCACTGGTATAGATCAGCATGTTGTCAGTGTTTCTTGACCTGAAGTAACTGCACCTTCATGTTCTGTATCAGGAAGCCACTGTTCTGAAGAAGCTCCATCACTGTTCTCACAGCTTACACGTGTAGGTACGCACATTTCTTCTGTGCTACTTGCTGCCTACTTTTGCCCGTCCACTGCAGGGACACTAAAGTTCTTGTGTTCAGTGTGCTGACAGTGTGTGTGCACTCACAGTGGTCTGGTTGTTGGTTTCCTCCAGAGGAACGAACACCGTGAACGGTCCGTCACCGTACAGCCGAGAGGCGTCCGAGTTCTGAACACAGGAAACATGATTCAGGGACTTTAGACCAGAGCTTCATCTCACCGCACACGCTGCTGCTCAGGATGTTTAAAAAAAGGATGATAAAGCACGAGCTGCTACAAATATGAACACCCCGTAACCTCCTGGTGGGTTTGAAAGTCCTCCTCAGAAAGTATTTATCAGCCAAAAACAAACAAACAAACAAACTAACTAACTAACTAGCAAACAACTATAAATATGCTTTTAGCAAATAGAACCAAATCTGAGCTTAAACTCGTGTTATTTTATAAAAATCACTTGTGACCACAGGAGCTCCAGGGTTTAACATCTGGAGACATGGAGACAGTTCAACATCTACAGGACCAGGAGACCACAGGAGCTCCAGGGTTTAACATCTGAGGAGACATGTTGGTTTCTGGTTTCTACATTTATGTAAATAATAAATAATCAAAGAAAGGTTGCTTCTCTCTGGTCTCCATCGTTCTGAGTCGTGCTGACAGAAGACATCTGAGCTCTGTCTCCTCCTTCCTGGTGTTGGGTTGTGCTCCAGACATCGAACCATCTCCATGTTTGGCTTCACAGGTGCACTGAGGAGCTCTGAATGTTTAGTTTATTACAGAATTTGAGGAAAGCAAGCTGTTTTATTTCTGGTGAACTTGTAGAACAATGTCGTTTTCATAAATATCAGGAAGCCAGGCTGAGGTTTGGTTCGTCTTGCTGACAGTAAAGCTGGAAACCAGCCGGTAAGTTGTGAAGCTCTGCCTCTGAAAGCTGCTCGTGGGTTTCAGGGTTCAGAGAGTTCATGCCCGGACTCACCGTCAGCATCCCTCTGAAGAAGCTGTTCTCCGGCTGTCGAAAGATTTCCTGTCAGACAGAAACACAGCGTCCCGTGAGGTGGCGGGGCCTGGAGCTGAGCGTGTGATGTCAGAGGTCACGTGACTCACGGTGCTGGTGGATCCTCGGCAGTTGATGCCGTCGCCGATGTAACCTATTCGGCAGGTGCAGTTCCTCTGACCCTGACCCATGTACTCACAGCGAGCGTATTTACTGCAGCCGCCGTTGTTCTGAAGACAAACAACAAATCACAGAACCGACATCAGAACGCCAGATCCTCTCGTCCCACAGTGGACGCCTGGTCCTGACTGGAGGACGGAGGTGTTTGGACACAGTTTAATGTCTAAATCTAAACAGTTGATTTTACACAAGAGCAAACAGTGATGTGAGTGATCTCGTCTCATCAAAAGATTATCAAGCGCAGACGATGCTGAATCTGTGGAATGTCAGCATGGGGATGATCTGCTGATCTCTGACCCCTCACAGGGCCCTTGAGTCTTATTGGTGGAAGTAAGAAGACACTTCTTCTTTTCTGAATGTTTAAAAAAGTTTCAGATTTAGGCTATGGATCAATGTTGTCACTGATTGGCCGGATGAAGTCACATGACTCGGCCCTCTGCCATTTTTAAAGGAAGTTACCATATATGGTCCGATTAAGGGTTACAGACAGTTGGACCGAACCGGTGCAGCTCTGGCAGCATCAAACCAACTCCAGAACATCAGCCTCTATGGATGGAGGACCAGAACTAAACCTGGCTGCTGCTCACAGCTAAACTTCCACATCAAAGTTCACAAGTGAACATTAACAGAAGCCTGATGGATGCTGGAGAACATCCTCTGGTCAGATGGAAATCAATGTGATGGGCTCAGATGGAGTCCAGATGTTTGGTGTGACCCTGACCAGGACCACCACAGTGGATGCATGGCAGCAGTGTGGACCTACGTTCCTGCAGGGGTTCACTGGGTAGCAGTATCTGCCGGATCCCTGGAAGCCCAGCTGACACCTGCAGGCCGTCTGAGAACCGAAGCAGAGCAGCATTAAAACCTACTCTCACTGTGTTTCCATCAGAACAAACACAAGCATCGGCGCTGCAGAGCTTTGAACAGTTTGCTGGTATTTTACAGACTTACAGACGTTTGTTTAAATTACAGAAAAAAGCATTCATTTGTATGTTCAATGGCCAAAACAGGCAAAACTGTAAATACCACCCACGTTTGAATAAATGTTAACTTGTTTTTTGATAGCATTTGACTGTAAACTCACACTGAACATTTAAAAAAAACACTTCAAATACAAATCTTCTGCTTTAGTGAAAAGAAAAAATAATAAATAGTTTTCTAACTAACTCTTTTTTTAAACAGACTTTTCATGTTATTTTGTGGTTAATGTCCAGAAAATCACAGAAAACAAATAATTATACTAAAATAATGAAACAGGCCAAACCATAAATAACATACACATCGAAAACATACATTCTTATAAACAGTAATCATTTATTATTCTTTTTACTGCATCTGACTGTCGGATAAATGAGATGTGTTGTTAGAAGGACAGGGGCTGTAAAATGACACCGATTCACTGACTTTAAATCTGCTCACTACATCTTTATTCTACACATATTTGATGTCATTTTCACTGTTTCTACAGTTTTTTAACGTTATGTCCAGTCCAGGACACTTTTACAGCTTTACCGTCTGTCCTGACGAACCAACCCTCACAACTAGATCTAACGATGGCCAGAGACGTAAGATAACTGGTGTCTGACTTTAGGAAGCAGCAGCGTCTTCTCACCATGTTGGGCCCGGTTCGGATGCAGTCGGCTGACTTATGGCAGCCTCCGTTGTTCACCAGACATCCGTCCATCTCTGTGGACAAATAGCCGGACGGAGGTTAAACACAAGTACCTCGCTCAGAGGAGAGAAAACGAGTTTTTACGTCATCTTTGCTTCATCCTCCAAACATCAAACCTGCTTTCAAAGGAAAAATAAATCGCCAAAGAGACGCCTTTTATACTGAAATACTGAATTTTCAGCTTCCTGAAGTCCCCTGAACTACTCGTCTGTGATGTGTTGTAAAAACTTCACTGAATCTGAGCTTAGAACCGGAAACTGATTTCATTCTACATCTCATTTAAAAATCAGCCAAAAACAAACCATTTAAATCAAGAGGATTTGGTAAAAACCAGAGATTCTGAGCTCTTCAACACATCCAGGAAGCCACCAGGTGGCCAACAGTTGAACTGCAGGCAGTGACTGGTCAGAGCACAGACGACAAACAAAACACCATTAAACTAAAAGACCTGGAAGACTTTCTGGGTAGATGTCAGGAGGTTCAAGTTCAGCTTCTGGTTCTGGTTCAGGGTTGAAGTTAAGTTTGAGGTTCTGGCTCAGGTTCTGGTTCCGTCTACCTACCCAGACAGACGACTCCGTCTCCGGTGTAACCATCCTTACAGCTGCAGGTTCTTTCTCCAGCTGAAACCGACTGACAGATGGCGTGCTGAGAACATCCTCCGTTGGACCGACTGCACAGATCCAGTTCTGAGAGAGACGAGGACAGACTGAACACCTGAACACCTGTTGGATGTATGATGGATGTATGATGGATGTATGATGGATGTATG